GATGGGAGGTTGGGAAGAGCACTGAACTTAGAATTCTAGATCAGCTCTGCCATTTCAAAGCTCCATATCCTTGAGTTAATCATCTATCCTCACTGGGTCCTTCCTTCCTGACTTCCCTTACTAAAATGAGATGGTCCACTAGGACAATGATTTTTTAAAAATTTTTAAAGCAACAGAAGAGTTCAGCCTCCTCCTTTCCCCCGGACATCTTGCCCAGAAATCTACAACACAAGATGTTAGGAGCAGAGTTTCTCCTGGAGGCTGGAGCTGTGGGGTAAAGCTCACAGTGGTCAGTCCCAGAGATTCCAAGCTCTGTGTCCATTTCCTCAGGTACAGACAGAACAGCTTCCCAGGTCCTTTTGGGGAGCCAGAGCAGGTGGCCCAAACCTGGGGCGCCTCTAGCCTCTGACCTGCTGTCTCTGCTCCCTAGGGCCCTACCAGCCCCCAAGAAAAAGGTAGACTTGGAGCAGGTGTGGCAGCTGCTGATGACAGCAGACCGAAAGGACTACGAGCGGATTTGCATGAAGTACGGCATTGTCGACTACCGGGGCATGCTGCGAAAGCTGCAGGAGATGAAGCAGGAGCAGGAGGACAAGATGGCGCAGGTACACTCTCCCTACCCCCACGCCACACACCTGCAGCACAGGTGCCACAGTCTGGAGCCATGCTTGGAGGCAGGCCTTGGGAAACACTAACTATGGCCACACGGCCTGTCTCCATCTAGCCCCTGTGGGGTATCTGGCTAAGAACTCGTGCCTCCAGGCTGATACCTTGGCTTTGAAACCTTGTTCTGATAACTTAGTCACTTCTGGGGCTTTGGAAAATTTAGGGCCTCTATGTCTTGGTTTCCTCTTCTGTCAAATGGTGATTATAGTTGTATCTATCTCATAAGATCATGGGGAGGAAGACTGATAGAATGTACTTAAAGCCCTTAGCGTCGTGCCTGACACATGGTAAGGGCTTGACGTCAGCTATCATCATGATCATCTACGATGGAGGATACCTGTCTGATTTCTAAACCCTTCCAAGGAAGGGAATCTTACAGTTCCAGAAACTCATAAACTATATAGGAAGTTCTTTCTTTAGTCTAACATAGAATCTAATTTTTTCCTCTGGATATGGAAAACAATTAGTGTTCATTATCCTGAAAATAGTATTTTATTGCTTCAAAGGTGGTTCCTTCCCCCAGGGTCTCAGCTTTCTTTCCTCCAGCCTTTCTCACCTGCTTTTCATAGAACTCAGAGCAGAGTTTTACAAATAGTAGGTGCTCAACTAATGTTTATTAGATGGAAGAAGAGATGAATGCTCTACTGTGCACTTGGAGCACCTGGACACTTTTCCTGGTTCTCTTCCTGAACTGATCTCTCATTTTGGAAATGTTCCTTCCTCGAGGGGCTTACTCCTCCCCATTGTAAGATGGGCTGGCGCATGCTTGAGTGGAACATTCTGGGCTTGGGTGGTACCAGGGCCTATGAGGGTTTGGAGTTCCTGAAGAAAGAGTTCTAAGCCCTCCCCTGCTGGGTTTGTCTGCCTCTAGTATGTCAACGCCATCTCCAACTTGAGACACATCAGGGTCACCAAGGGGGGAATCGCAACATTTGACCTGGAGCTGGATCTCAAGGATTCTGAGAGCAAGATTTACTTGTATAAGGTGAGGCTGCAGGGGCCTTGAGAGGGAGGATCTGGCAGGGATGCTGCAGGTGCTGGGTTTGGGGGACCTGAGCACACAGGCAGCGAGGCCCTCATCCCGTGGAGTTACTGGTTGGAGTTAAGTCACATTCTGTTGTACACAGTCCACAGGGACCTTTTATGTCACATTAAGCTATCAGGTGCTCCAACTGGGCCTCACACACATCCAGCTCCATCACTTGCAAGCTGTGTGACCTCAGATAAGATATTTACCTTCCTGTGTCTCAGTTTCCTCATCTGGGAAATGGGTGTAACATAACACCCATCTCGCAGTGTATTGCAATGTTACAATAATGCACGGCTCGCCCCTCCCCTCACCTCTGCTCACTCTTGCTACTCTTCCCTGTGCCACTCTGGCCTCATCCCTGTTCCTTTGCTTCAGCTGTTCCCTCCGTGTGGCATGGTCTTCCCTGCACCCACAGAGCTAATTTCCTAACAGCAGGGAGACTTTCCTGACCATATTGTGTGATTCCACGGCGCTTCCTCAGTCCCATTCTGGCACTCCTGGACCTCCTGTTCCTTTTTCTCCCCCGTTCTATTTTTTTCTAACATTATTTATTTATTTACTTTTTTTTTTTGAGATAGAGTCTCATTTTGTCGCCCTTGGTAGAGTGCCATGGCATCACAGCTCATAGCAACCTCAAACTCCTGGGCTTAAGCAAGTCTCTTGCCTCCCAAGTAGCTGGGACTACAGGGGCCTACCACAACGCCTGGCTGTTTTTGGAGATGGGGTCTCACCATTGCTCAGGCTGGTCTTGAACCTGTGAGCTCTGGCAATCCACCCACCTCGGCCTCCTAGAGTAGGAGGATTAAAGGTGTGAGCCACCACGCCCGACCTTATTTACTTATTTATAATGTTTATAACTTACTTGTCTCCCCAATAGGTTTTTAGCTCCTGAGGGGTAAAAAAAAAATTTTTTTTTTAGAAATTTTTTTTTGTTCGTTGATGTGTCCCAAGTACCTAAAACAATGCCTGACACACAGTGGGCACCTAGTAAGTGTTAGCTATTGTTATTATTCCGCAAGCAGCAAATCCATCTAGGGCTTAGTTAAAGTGGGTGTGTATAGAGAATATGCACGTTGAAGATGGCATTCTCTGAAAGTTCCCCCTGGTGAATAAATGTGCTGGGGCCCAGGACCATGGACCATTGGTTTTAACCCCCTGACCCCTTGCCAACCTTGCAAGGCTGCTGGGTAGTAACTTGACTCACAGCCTGAGCCAAAATCTCTGCAATCTGAGGTGCCTCTTTGAATAAAACATGCAATTTTTCACTGCATGCAGAGTCACAGACATTCCTAGAGCACATATTCCCACCCACCTCACAATCCCAGCTGCCAAATTCTCTACTTCCTCCTTCCCTTCACAGTTCTAAGAATGTTTTCTGGTGAGGGGGAGAGGGACTGCTGATTGTAGTCAACTTGGGACTGGGGCAGGAAGTGCTGGGAACCTGCTAAGGCCCTCAGCAGCCCCCTCTTCCTTTTTCTGGTCTCAGGATGGTGAGATGGTCCCCTACGGCTTCGACAACCTGACCAAGCACTGTCTGCGCCGGCTGGGGAAGCGCTACAACTTCCAAATTCAAGACCTGAGGCCCGAGGACTCTGGCATTTACCAGGTCAAGGTGGAGGATACCATAGTCTTCTCCACAGAACTAGAGGCCAGCGGTGAGTGATCTTCACTGCAGAAGGTCGAATGGGGGTCCATGTTGGTGCAAGGTGTGTGGATAAATGTGACATGGCTCCCTGCTGCAAAGACAGCTAGGAGAGGCCTGCACACCCAGATGGTTCATTTTGATGTGCTTTGTTTCCCAGCACCCTGGGTCCAAGTTGTGTCTTCTCTTGGTGTTACAGCCACAGATGTGGGACATTGGTGTCATGTCTGTGCTCACACACCTTCTACAGCAGTGATTTATTTTCAGATCAGATCCAAACTAACTGCACAGCCTCAAGCTGCAACCTCGCTGCTCTCTGCTGTGTGCCCTTATCTCCCACAACCCCAGCAGGAATCTCCACCTGGGTTAGGCACACTTGCGACCTATACGGACTTTTTCCTTCCCTGCTCCCTGTGCCCCTTCCCCCATTTGTCTCATACCACTAGTGCATAAGTTCTCATCATTCCTGGGGCACCTGACAGCTTGAAGGGGCTCTTGGTAGGAGAAGGGGAGGCCTAGGAGAAGGAAGTTCAGGGAAGATATATCATAAATAGCAAGGCTGAATCGCAGTTGAGATAGCGAGAAGAGGATGGTGCATCCCAGCAGGCCAGGGGTTCCTGGGTGAGGTTTGAAAGACTGAAAACTGTGCGGCGTGGGGAAAGGAACATGGGCTTGGGAGTCGCCAGACCTGGGTGCAAATCCTGATTTCTCCTAGCTGCCTAAGACTAGGGGAAGTCATTTAACTTTTTAAGCCTCAGCTTCCTCACTTGTAAAAAGGAATTATACCTATATCGATCGATCCATAGATAGATAGATAGATAGATAGACAGATAGAGACAGATAGATAGAAAGCACTAGTTCTCACCTTTCAGATTTCCTTCATGTACCTACCTTGTCCCCAAATATAACTTATGGGTTTAAAATTATAAAATCCTAGAGCTGAACATAGACTCATTAATCATAACCAATTATACCCCTTCATTTTATGTGGGGTGGGGGATAGATACCTGAGGTAAGGAAGTGGCCCATCCGAGGTGTCACAGGGAGTTTGTGGCTGAGCTGGGCTGACCCTAGGCTTAGGTTCTGGCTTCCAGTACCACTGCATCAGGTCGCACCATGTGCTATCAAGGTGACACCCCCATTCCTGTTTTCCTGGCAGCCATCCCCGCCAGAGTGGTGGTCCCGCTGGCTGAGACTCGCTGTGAAGAGCAGGCCGATGCAGTCTTTGAATGTACTCTCTCCAACCCCTGTCCCAGTGCTGCCTGGCAATTCCGGCGCCGGCCACTCCAGCCCAGTGACAAATATGAAGTGTCTGTGTCCCCCAATGGGCTGACCCACCGGCTAGTGGTGAGGGGGGCCCGCTTCTCAGACATGGGCCTCTATTCTCTGGACACTGGGTTCTATGCCTCCAGTGCTTGGCTGGTAGTTGAAGGTGAGTGGTTCACACCTGTCTTTCCCTGCCTCTTCCATGGCAAGACCTCAGGGCTAGGGAGTCATGAGGAAGGCTGAGGTGGGAGTGAGAGGCATGGGGCTGGCTTTGTTCATGCCCTCGCTCTGAGAGAACAAGGAGAGCTACTTAGCTCTATTCTTGACCCACTGCAGTGCAGACTCTTCATGGCCAGCTCAGCCCTCCTCAGCTGCATCTGCTCCACTGGGCCTCTTGCAATTACTCAGTGACACAGACCTAAGATGGCTCTAGGGTCCTGGACAGCCTAGGAACAGTGGTTCAAGTTCAGTATGGTTGAAAAGCACCTGGGCCAGACAAGAGAGCACTCTTTGGCCCCCCTAGAGATTGGAATTTGGGTTATAGATGTTCCTACAGAATTTTTCGCAGATTTTTTTTGTGGATTTTTTTTTTTTAACTACACACCTACTGTGGCAATTTGATAAGCAAATGACTTTTGGCTTGTGCATTTTCTCCCCAGTCCTCATGTAGCAGGGTGGCTTGGGGGAGCAGGACTGGGGAGATGGTGGTGCATTTATCCATCCATCTGCAGGAGCATCCTGGCTTCCTTCCTGGATGGTCAGCTTGCTTCTCCACTGGGCAAGCTGGGGTCAAGCAGGTGCTTCAGCCTGATTTAACATGAGTTTTGGTCTTTTCTCTTGTCTCTCCCTGGGGGAACTGACCTCCCATGTAAATTACACCTCACTGAAGCCGGCAAGGATAAAGACCTTCAGACCACAAGCACTGACAGCCAGCAGCAGGTACAAGGAGCCCAGGCCTCAGAAGCAGAAGACTCTGGAACCATCAGTAGCCAGGGAGGGAAACCCAGAGAGCAGGACCCCCCAAGGAGCTCTGTCAAGGGGGCTGAGCTAGTTTCTGGGCTTCAGTGGGTTGCTGGCCCCCAAAGGGCTGGCCTTGACAGGCATGGATGCTCCTTAACGGAGGATGAAGGGGCAGCTGGCTCAGATGGGGGACCTGGGCAGGAGAGAAAGGACTTTCCAGAAGCAGAGGAAGGCAGAGTCACTCCTGGGGAAACTCAGCCCCACAGAGAGGGAGGTTGGGGCAGAAGCCTTCCAGGGAGGCCTCATCTGCAGGGAGAGAGCCCACAATCAGGGTTGGGCCTCATGGAAAAACAGCAGCAAGATCACAGCAGAGATAGTGATGGGGACAGATGCTGGGGGATGGCAGGAGGCTGGGGGGCAGGGCCCAGTGGCCCTCAAGTTGAAGGACTGGGGGGAAGCTGGGAAGGAAAGGAGCATAGAGAGGACAGTGGAGGTCAACTGAGCAGCCAAGACCAAGAACGACTCTGGGACACTCAACTGGGACCTGGGGTAGGAAAGAGGAACTTGCAGGGATCCCAGTCTGGTCCTGCCGGGTCCTGGTTGAAAGGGGAGGGGACAGAGATGACTTCGCAGGGTGACAGCTTGGATGAGATGGAGGGAGGGGACAATCTAAGTAGGGAAAGGGGGAGAGGAGTAGCAAGAGTAATGTGGGGCAGTGGGACTGGCCTGGGGGCAGCTGGAAATAGCAGTGGGGAGGGAGGTCTTAGCACCCTTGAGTTTCCTGGAGGAAGAGGCTCTAGCTCCAAGTCAGGCAAGGGCCCTGAATCTTGGAGTTCTGAGGGAGGTAGAGATGCTGACTATGGGGAAGCCAGGGGATACTGGGAGTCGGGGAAGTATCTAGGACAGATATCCGGAGGCAAGAACTTCCAGGAATCATCACTATCAGGTGGCAGAAAATTCCCTCTAGAGAATGAAAGCTCCGAGGCCAAAGCTGAAGACTCCCTGCAGAAAGCAGGTGATCTATGCTGGGGGCATTCTGTAGGTACAGGAAGGGGCTATGAAACTGGCCTACAAGGCTCAGGAGACCCCAGGGGCTGGGAAGGTGGCTTACAGGAGCTCAGGAGAAGGGATGGCCAAGAGAGAGCAAGGGCCTTGGGTGGGGCAGGGGAAGGCTCTGGAAGCCTCCAGTCTTCTCAGGGCTGGGCAGCAGGGCAGTGGGGAGAAGGGGGAGCCAGCAGACCGGAGTCTGAGAGCACAGGTCCTTGGGATGACACATGGTCCAGCCTCAGAAAAACTGGGCTCCATCAAGTGTCAGGAGTGCTCCGGTCCACTGACAGGAAAGGGGGAGTAGGTGGTAAGACTGGGCTGATAGAGTTTGGTCAAGGGGCAGATGCTGGAAGCCACAGCCTGATTAGGTCTCCAGGCCTGAATGCTCAGGGGCCTGGGGGCACATTAGGAGAATCAAAGGGATTAAGAAGTTCAGGGGTAATAGCGTCTGAACCAGATTTCTGTAATGGGTCTGAGAGCTCCAGAGTAAAAGGATACAGAGGAGAGATGGGCTATGAGGATGGCTTAGGAGGCCCAGCAAGAATGGAACCTAGGTATGGGGATGGCTCAGGACATCCTAGGGGAATAAGTGTTGAAAATGGGGCTGGTTATAGTGATGGCTCAGGAGTGCCAGCAGAAATGGGGTCTGGTCACAGTGCTGGTTGCAGAGTTGCCTCTGGGAAACCTGTGGGAACAGAGTCTGAGGAAGGGGGTGCTTACAGGGATAGCTCAGGAGTTCCTGGGGGAATGTGGTCTGGACACAGAGGTTATGGCCTCACAGGAAGGGGGTCTGGGAGAGTTGCTAGTCTCAGGAATGGCTCAGGTGGCCCTGATGGAGCATCCATGGATGAAGCTGGAAATTGGGATGCTTGCAGAGGCCAGAGAGAAATGGGCCCTGGGGGAGGGCATCATTTGGTTGGTGGCCTAGGGAGTTCTGGGATAGTGGGGTCTGTGGATAGAGATAGTCTCAAGGCCTCTGGAACAGTGGAGACTGCTGGGGAGGGTCATGTGGAAGCAGAGCTGGGAGGCTCTGGAAGGGGTCAGACTGGAGATTCTGGGGGCTTCAGAGCCTTGGGGACCCTGGGGACCTTCAGAGAAAGAGGCTATGAAGATAGCCCTGGGGGTTCAGGAACCATGGAATCAGGATCTCTGAGGGGAGGGGGAAAGGTGGTTGATGGGGATGGGACCGGGTACCTTGGTGCCAGGGCCTCTGGAGCTGGAAGTGGTTATTGGGATATCAGCCATCCTGAGGCACTAGCTCCTCACTCTGGGGCTGGTTCTGAGAGTCAGTGGGCCTGTGGGTCTGGCAGTGTGCTAGGTTATAGGCCTGGATCAGAAATTCCAGAGCCTCAGGGAACTGGAGTCAAAGCTCCTTATGGAAGAGGGTCAAGGGGCCTTGGGCCTAGGACAACAGGGTCAGGGGAAGAGGCAAGTTTTAGGGGTGGCTCAGGGGGCCTTAGAGAAATGAGATCAGATAGGGCAGGTTATAATGATATTAGGGGTCCTAGGGAAATGGGGTCAGCAGATGACACAGGTTACAGGAAAGATTTAGAGGCTCCTGAGGGAAGGAGCTTGGGGAGCAAGGCATCCTTTGGGGATGGTTTAGGGGGTTCTGGGGAAATGGGGTCAGCAGATGACACAGGTTACAGGAAAGATTTGGAGGCTCCTGGGGGAAGAGGTTCAGGGAGC